AGTGGCCGATGGCGTTATCCACGAAGGGCGCTCCGAATCCGGAGGCTTTTTTGGCCCAACGACGTCATGCGCCGAAGGGGCTCCGAATCCGGAGACTTTGAGTGGCCGATCGTGATATCCACGAAGGGCGCTCCGAATCCGGAGGCTCTTCCAGAACACTTTTAGAACAATTTTTGACAAGAATCCTCGTATTACAAAAGTGGAATTTGTACATGGCGAATCGTTTAACACTAAAATCATTCCGCACAGGTCGGGTTTAATGATAAAACTTTTGCAAGTAGGTCGAGTTCCAAGGCCTTGGAAGACTCCTTCCTGTCATATCTCTCAACCGATATGCCCCTGTTCCTGCGATGGAATCTATTTGAAAGGGGCCGTCCCAGTTTGGACCAAGTTTTCCATCGGCCGACTTCCTGTCGGCTGGAAGCACCTTCTTCAGGACCAATTCTCCTGGTGTGTAGTGGTGCAGCTGAACTCGTTGATTGTATCATTTCGCCAACTGTTGCTGGTACCGTGCCATGGACGCAAGGGCACGGTCTCTTCGTTCCTCGATTAGAAACAAATCCAAAGCCAGCATCATGTCGTTTCGGCCTGTATCAAAAACTTGCGACTTGAGGGTCGGGAGGCCAATCTCCATGGGTAAGATCGCCTTGTTGCCAAAGCATCGGGCAAACTGAGTTTCTCCAGTTGATCTCCTCGGCGTTGTTCGATGAGCCCACAATACACTCGGCAATTCTTCGACCCATTTGCCTTTGGCTTTCTCCAGCCTTTTCTTGATGCCGTCCAGGATGGATTTATTCGAAGCTTCGGCCTGACCATTGCTTTAGGGATAAGTCGGCGTAGAAAAGTACGGCCAGATACCATATTTGTCACACAGTTCTTGGTAAACACCACAATCAAATTGAGTGCCGTTGTTTGAAATAAGGGCTCTTGGAATGCCAAATCGTGTTATGATGTTCCTTCACCCAAAACGTTTAACATCAACGTCTCGAATGTTTGTTAATGCCTCCGCTTCGACCCATTTTGTGAAGTAATCTGTTGCGGCAATCAAGTATTGCTTATTCTTTGGGGCACTCGGCAATGGTCCTACGATATCAAGCCCCCACTGGGCAAATGGCCAGGGACTGGTAATAGAGTTAAGCTCTTTAGCGGGCAAATGGGTTAGTGGGGAGACCTTCTGGCACTGTTCACACCTTTTCGCATAACACTCGGCGTCCGCTCTTATGGTCAGCCAATAATACCCCTGCATTATAGCTCGATGGGCCAACGAATGCCTGCCAGAATGGGCACCACAACTGCCCTCATGTATCTCAATCAGAAGCTCTTCAACTTTGTCTGGGTGCACACATTCCAAATATGGACCATAGAGGGATTTTTTATAGAGCCCTCCTTGCGGATCCAAGTAGTATCTCATGGCTTTGTTTCGCAACTTGTGCGCTTCTTTCTTGTCATCTGGGAGTTGGTCAGAAGATAGGAAGGTAGCAATGGGATCCATCCAGCTTGGGGCAGATTCTATGACGTTAATCTGGACTTCCTCCGAAGGGCCAATGCTTGGCTCCGGGATAAAACCTACTTCGATAGTCCGTTTAATCTTTGAGTTGATGGCGGAGGCTAGGCAAGCCAAGGTGTCTGCATGGGTGTTCTGATCACGTGTTATCTGGTTCAACTCATGATGGTCAAATTTTGCCAATAAGGAATTGGCCGTTTTCATGTAGGCCGTCATGCGATCGTTCCTTGCCGCGTACTCCCCCTTTAGCTGGTTGATCACCAGTTTTGAATCACAAAACACAAGCAAACGCCAAGCGCCGAGAATGTGCGCGTTCCGTAAACCAGCTAGGAGGGCTTCGTATTCGGCTTCGTTATTTGA